TATACTATAAAGAAGAAGAAGAAGAATGAATACATCTCAGAACTGTTTAAATCATTGTTGGGCAAGATGTCTTTTAATTAAAAAAAAGGGACATTTGAAGAAAAACAGGAGAGACAAAAACAGGCTTTCATCGATATGTCGTCAAGTTGTGTATGCATGTGTGTATGTAGGTGTCTACATATGTATGTGCGTCTGCTTTATTTTTTTTGCCTGCTTTGTGACGTGATGCGAATTAAACCGTCATGCAACCGACAATGGTTAACTTGGAAACAGAATAACAAATTAAGAAAAAACACAGTTAAAACAAAATGATGCGATTCAATGATGATGATTCATGACAGAAGAAGAAATAAGAAGAAAATTTAAACGTAGGGAAAGAAGTCATCAAAATTTAAAGAAAACTTTAAATAGATGGTCAGTGTATTCAAATTTACGAAAATGTCGATTATTCATGTACATAGTTTATTTGAGAAGGCGAAAAAACAGAAGCATAATGTTGTTACTTCATTCTTCATTAGGATGTAATTACAGGTTGTGTTGCAGATTACAGATGAGTTAAGTGTAGGTTGTTAGTTGTCCGGGTTTTTTTCGTCTTCTTCTGGTAATCGACAAAGTCAGTCAGTCAGTCATCAACACACTTGAGTGGATTGCTTTTCTGTATGAGTTATGTGAATGCAAAAGTTGATCAGTGTTCATTCATTTGAAGGTGGTTAACTTAAAATCGAAATTTTAGGTTATCACGAAGATCAGTTAAACAATTTTCAAATATCTTCAGAGACTATCTTGTATATTCGAGCTGTTATTTAGTGACAGTGACATATTCGGATGTTAGGTGCAAGCCTGTGGTGAGTTCTAATGTAGGTCTAGACTACTTTAGCTGAACCACAGTGCATACGCTACTGCATTCTCTACTTAGAAACTTTGTTAAGCATAAAATACCGTGGAACGCCCCTTTCAAATAATTTCTCTTGGTCATCCCATATCTCGTTAATTTCTAAGAAAGTATTCCATCTAACTTGCTAAATTAAGAAAGTAAAACGATCTGGGATCATTCAGCCTATAATTTTACAGTCTGTTAACTCCTGCATCTTACCTTTTGTTCTTTGTTTCTGCCCATCATTCTATCATGGGCTACCCAAAAATGACTACATCAGATTTAGAAGGGTATTAAAGGTTGTCAGTAGGGCAAGCAGTGTGCCACTGAGTCACCTAATTACCACTGTAGTCGGCAGACACCTGAACTCATATGAGAAGTGGTCAAAATTCACATTGTCTAACTCTAGACACACTCTCTCTATTCACAGCTCTCTGCACTTTACATCTCATCAGGTAAGACTAGAATTCATTAGAAAAGGTTAAATGCTTACCCGCACAAGTAAATAAAATAACTCAACGATACCCTACCCGGCCCACGTTCTGTGTGATAGAGACAATGTTAAGCATGAGATTTAGGACTTACTATGTTATTAGCAAAATAATGGGCTCTTTGATCTCCTATTTGTAATCTGCGGTAAGACTATTTCAATTAACTCATAATTTTAAGTACTCATATTAATATCGTCATTATTTTACACTTTTTGTATATTTTGACATTTTACATTTGAATAAGACATTAAAAAACAAATTTCGTGAAATGATGTCATTTCGTAGTTTCCTTACAACCGCTTTGAAACTAACGTGGTTAATTTTCAAGTAATGATTTTGTGGGGCTTTAGTTTGATTGCATGGAGGATTTCATCATGAGCTGACATCAGTTAGAGAACCACTGCGAAACCATCTGGGAGTACTGGATAGCTGTTTCATCCTAGCTCTTCAACAGTACGCATCCCCAGGGTAAGAACCTAGGACCTTCTGGTTTCAAGGCTGGTGAGCTCGTAGACCACTGAGCCACTGGGACCCGATCCAATGGCCAGCCCATGAATTCTAACTTCTGCCAGTTCACGACAGAGCGCGACCATTTCGCCACATGGTTAACAATAATAAAGTAAAAGGCGTGACAATTACTCAGTCATATAAAACAAAAGTACATACTGATGACCAATCACATTTAAATAGGTCAAGTAGTGCATGGTAGGCGAAGGTTGAATTCTGTTGTTTTCGTACACATAGTTTAGAATGTATGTGATTAATCCAAGGTGCTTCTATCACTCTCAATAACCTCGAATTAGAGTTATGTGAAATAATTGTGAAACAGTCACTAATATTGATTTTGTGACCTGACATTAATAAGTTCTTTGCAATGGATGATGCTGGATTTCTATTCAGATTACCCGCATTGGGATTTTCTATATGATTTAGTAGCCATTTTGGAACATATTCTTTTAGACGACATTGGAACATTCTGTTGGTTCTACCTATATAGGTGTAGATACAGTTTGAAGTAGAGTCCACAGAATTTCGTCCTTTATTCGTAGGTACAGGAATCAAAAATTTTCGAGATATGAGGTAAAGAGATGCCTCGTAGAATGTGCGCTTGATGGTTGACCGAAGTCCTTAGGCTGTCAACTGAATAATTTGATCACCATGGAATGGCAGGTTAATAAAATAGCTTTCTATGTTACAGAAGGTGTCTTTTCAAGATGTGGTCTATCCTTACTGTGACAACTGATAAAGCTTTCTGAATAACCATCAGCTAATAAAACAGAATGTATATATTGAAGCTCATCCATCAGTGTGTCACTTATACATATTTTGCGGGCCCTTGAAAACAAACATTTCTCTAGGGAACTTTTATACTGGATAGGAACAAAACTGGCGAAATGAAGATATTGTCCACTCCACGTCCGTTCACGAAGAATAGATCGCTTAATCATTCCATCGTCTCTCCTAGTCATATACAAGAAACCAAGTTAGTTATTCGATAAGTCAAAATAACTGTTTAATTGGGATAAAATTTATGAGTTTATATCATAATATTTGATGAATTGGGATTCAATTATTATTGAACTGCTCATTTTCCAATGCATTTCTACTAATTTTCAATCAAAACCTGAGTTGACGACTAAAATATGAAGCCTACCTTAATACTCGGAAGAAAACTTCTAACTAATCATTCATGTTGTGTAACTACAGTTAGGAAATATTAATTTTTTTATGCAGTTATCTGTTCTAGATGTGTAAAACTTGAGCACTGCTGTAGTATATAATTTGCTTTTTGGATATATCATACAGTGAGACAGTATTATTCACCGGAAAAAACAGTTTCGAACACGACTTACTGTTCGAAATCGTATCAAGTATAAGTACATAACTTCAAAACTTGAGTTTTGTAGTTTCCTTCATTCCTTCTCGTTTTTCGTTGGGGGATAAGAATTTTCGAGATTTCCAGCTGGACAGGTGTTAAATCATTCTTACTGCAGATTTGTTGACTTGATTCAATAAACACAGCTTCAGTTGTCAATCTCTTCCCCAACCCATATTTATTCATATTTGTGTATACCAGCTAATCACCTGGAAACTAATCACTTCATAAGACACGTGGAGACCACTACAGAACCTAGGGCTGATGAAACAGGAAACGAACCAATGCAAGAATGAAAAATGAAGGGGGAAGTTGGGTCGAATTTACAGCTCATTGAATAAAAAAGTGAGGTGTTCTGGGAAAGACAAGAGGCAATTCTACAGCCCCATGATTGGTTGATATTTTAATATTTATTCGTAAAGTCATGTATATTATAGTTAAGCTTGATGAGATATAATTGAAAAAAGTATCGTTCGCTTAAATATGTTGTTCTGAATTCTACCAAGGCAATATTTAATATTTCGAATTTTACGAAACATTACCAAATCAAGCAAAACAAACCTCAGAACATCATATCATTATATCCTGACCAGGTCACTGTCGACGAAGAGATCATAGGCAGATGAAACCAGAGAGTGATAGCTGGGAGGATCTAATTGCCAAAGAGAAAAATCCAAGGAAACAGTCAGCTAGTTACTTCAAAAGAACTCTTGAACCGATCACCACCTGCAACTCGGCTAGAATCATCACAGACAACCACAGTACTACCAGTGAACACCTATCCTCCAACAACAACAGAAGTTACTGACAGACGGAAGGCAGTAGAACCAGACGGAATTTCTTCTTAACCACTGAAAACTGATCTAGACAATGCACCGGATGAGCTTACGCAATATTGCGAAATGTTTGGAAGGAGGAAGTACTTCCTACTGGTTAGAAGAAAGGTTACCTTGTTAGGATATCACACAGGGGCGACTTCAACCTCTACAGAAACTGGCACCAATCATGCTCCTGTCCACTCCAAGCAAAAGACTAGATAATGCACCGCATGGATGTCAGGGGAAAAACCCATTTAAGTATTTCAAGGTGTGTAAACAGTTGTTTTCTGGATTTTGTTCGTTTATGTTCCCAGTAGAATATAGGAATTCAAGCTAGAGCTTCCAAGTGCTCATAGCAGTGGTTTTATTTTCATGGGGTGGGGTTGCCAGCTTCACGCTCAACCTTCCTTCTTTACAGGCCTTACTACCGGCTCAGCAAGGTTTAGAAATTCCTCGGCCCAGGGATTGAACTCCAGACCACGTGCGTGTTAGGTGAGCGTTCTATCACCGAACCACTGATGCACATAAAAAGTCAGACAACGAAAATTCACTGTGAAAAACAGGTTAGGACATCATTATTTCAATAGGTAAAAACAAATTTCCACTGTAATGCTAGTGAATTGACTAGTTAATTATTCGTGCTTCAGTAACCTCTTGAATTTATATGCCTAATATTCTGTTAAAAATTATTTTTCTTTTGTTTGTTAATTTGGGCGTTGAATTAAATCCTTTTTTTTTATCGTCTTATTATCATGTCTTCACTTTTCTTCTAAAAATAAATAGAAAAGTAAATAATGAACAAATTATAATTATTTTGCCCATTGAAACGTTAATCCTCAATTTTAACTGGCCAATTTTTCGCGTTTATCTGATTGGTTAAAATGTATGTGTGTAGGAGCTATAAAAGTGTATAATTATGAATTTCTGCTTTTTGTGAACACTGCTCATTAGTATTCATGTGGTACAATAATAAGGATTTCTAGGATAAATTTACTTGCTGATCGAATAATAATAATAATACATGTGTAATAGGATTACATGAAAATGTATAAAGATAATATGATGATGATGATATACATCAACTCATACAAAATGTGATCCTGCCTTCAATGTACATATTATGCTGTTTATAACATTTGAAAGTATAACTAATCTTGTCTGGTTGGATATAGACTTTAAAACACGACTGCTGATATTGCTCACTTTGTTAAATATGTCAATGTATACTTGTAAAAACATAGAATTTTCCCCGGAAATGTTTACTTCGGTTAAACAGCAGCATTCTTTGAATTCAGATTTGCCTAAATATGTTAAATCGTATTCAGATAGCATTAAGAAGCATAGAGTGGAATTAATACCGATTAAAGCGACTCCAGAGTATGGTGAGTGATAATATCATATATATATATGTATATATATATATATATATAGTATTATTTTTACAATTATTGTTATCTTGATTTCGCCACTAGATCAGATAAAAAAGGGGATCAACAAAAATAATATCAGATTTGAGTCGTAAACATATCTATATGTAGCATAGTATTACTAAACGAGATTCACTCTTCGCCAAAATCGGATTATACATTAAAGAGAGAACTGGTTGTGATTTTTAAATCGATCTACACTTTCGACAATTGCATACAGAATATATTAGATAGTGAAAATGATGATATTGGATAGTTGGAGGCAATCGGCCACAGGAAGCCTTGCTTGACCTAGGTTTCGTGCTAGTTGGCACTCACAAGTCAGAAAGGTGTATCTGCAACCTTGAAGGAACTCATGTCCCTTGTAAGATTCGAACCCGCGTCACCCAGCTCTGCAGTCAGAGGCGTTACTACTGAGCTGTTAAGGCTCGTGATTGACCTCCTGTAGGACTGTAGTGGGTAGTTTGATTTTTTTTTACCCTTCACGTTCCCCAGTGGAACATAGGGCTTCAAGCTAGTGGCTTGAAGTTTCTATAGCAGTACTTATTTTACAGGATGGGGTTGCTAGCGTCATGCCCAACCTTTCCCCTTCACCAGCATTATTTCTGGCTCAGCGAGGTAAAGGAGTGCGTCGCCCGGGGTTCGAAACCCGGACCATGTGCATGGTCGGTGAGCGTTCTAACCGCTATGCCACCGACGCACACCGATGTAGTTTGATTGGACACTAGTAACTGGTGTGACGTGTCTAGTCCTTTATTTGGTGCAGACTGAATTCTGATAGTGAATATTCATTATGTGAGCTTTCCAAAATAAAAGATTTGAGCATTATCGTTATTTACAGCTAAGTTTGCACATTTCACTTTTACTGTATCATTTTTGACAAGTTACACATTATTCATATTTGGTAGACCAAATCTGGGTTGTGTTCATGATGTCTAGCAGAGTATAGAAATTACTATAGAGTATTTTTGATTGGACACTAGTCAGTAAGTAGTGTAATGTGTGTGTATGTGCAGACTGAATTCTGTAAGTCGAGGTTTAAAAGGTGTACACCATGCTAAGTGGCTCGCAATCATGGTGCACTGTGAATTGTTTGTATTAGATGGTTGGAAGCAATCAGCAGGAAGTCTTGGACCTAGGTTTCGTGGTAACGTCTCTGACTGCAGAATTGGTGACGCGCGTTCGAATCTCAGAGGAGATATGAATTCCTTCTACGTTGTGGATGCGCTTTTCTGACTGGTAAGTGCTAGCTAGCACGAAACCTAGGTCAAGCAAGGCTTCCTGCCGATTGCCTCTAACCATCTAATATTATTAGAGAGCTTACTTTGCATTTACACTAATAATGTTTATCTTTCGTATTATGAGAAGGGTCTAAGGATCCAAAGATTTGCTAGAATGATGTTTATATTATTAAATTCTATATATGAAGATGGTATAAGCAGGTTGATAATAATAATTCGCTTTATTCCAAAACACTACTTATCATACAGTGTGTGGAATACTCAGCATTTGGTACAATATTGCATCTAATTCACTCGACAACAGCAAAGACAAAAAAACTACATGGTATGAGTTTCCAAAATTAGTGACAGTAATATGTCTGTCATTAACGGTAATAATAAAGTCAAAAATATTGAAAAAAGATAGAATGATAATAGTAATGAGAATAAATGAAATCATAATATGACTAAAATAGTATTACTGTAGATTACAAATAGGAGAAGATTGAAGAGCCATTTATTTTGATTAATACCTAGTAAAGTGTAAGTTTCATGCTTAAAACTATGTTTATCAGATGGAACGCGGACCGGCCGAATAGAATATCACTGACTTTTTGTACTTACATGTGCGAGTGAGCACATAATCTTTTCTAATGACTTCTAGCCCCACATGATGCGATGCAAGGCAGGAAGATTCGTGAGTAGAGAGAGTGAGGCAGTATGGATTTAGACGATATGAGTTCGCATGCGTTCAGATGTCCGTCGACTACAGTTTTAACCAGATGACACATATCTTGTCCCACTGTTTCCCTTTTATACCATTCACCATATGATATAGTATTTTTTGACAAGCCCAGGAAAGACTAAAGAACGGCAGACGGGGGTTAAAGGATTTGACAAAGTTAACCAATCTTTAAAGGAGAGGTTGAATGATACCTACCTGATTGTCTCAAAGAGACATGGAATGACCGGAGGGGGGGGGTTAGAGGAAATAACTATTCCAAGGTATTTAATACTGGACTTTGTTTCAATTTCAGTGACTTGTCTGCTACAAAGATCTTTTGATCGGACCAGTTCATATAGATCACGTTTATGCTTGAAGGTCAAGTTAACCGTCTAACATTTGGAGGGATTCAGAGTAAGAGCATTTAATTTAAGCCACTGGCTAATGCCTGACAATGAGGTATCCAGCGTGGAACATTGTAATCGGGAAATAACTGTCAACGAGATAGTCAGATTATCAGCCTATTCAACGAAGCTTATTTCTTTGGAAAGAGGCAAGTTATGTAAGAAGAAAGTAAGAAAATCGAAAAGGAGAGAGAACAGCACCTTATAAGGTCACTGACATAGAAGCATTGTTTTGTCAGCTAGGAGATTTCATCTATTGTAGGAGAAAAAAAACATATATTCGAGTCAAAACGTGAAGGTTAAGTATAATCATTGAGGTCAATCAATATGATATACACCTTTATTTAATACGAAGTATTAAAGTGCATAATTAATCTTAATCTCTACCTCCTATTGTCTGTTAAATCAAAATCAAAAGCCTAATTCAGCCTAGTCAACATATTTGTCCTTTCACTGTTGAAACCCGCTCCCCCCATTAAACTCTATTGAACTTGGAACTGCATGCAATTAGAGTAGCATAATAAACAGTTTAGAAAGTAATCAATGAGAAATTTTTCCATTTTTTCTACATAGCATATTTTCTATAGTTTGGTTTGTAAGGGTTTGTTATGTTTTTACGAGTTGATCACGGACTGATATCAGTTAGAGAACCATTGAAAACCAGTGAGGTCCAATTATATGTCACGTGTGTGGATGGATGTCCCACCTACGACAATGGTTGGGGTCGCGCTAAATCAAGAATTGGTAGAAGTTAGAATTCATGAGCCATTGAATCGGGTCCCAGTGGCTAAATGATATACGAGCTTGCCTTGTAACCGGAAGGTCCTGGGTTCGAATCCCAGTGGGTGCGTGCTGCCGACAATTCCCAAGTTAGGATGAAACAGCAGCTGTCCAGTACTCCGTGGTTTTCAATGGTTCTCTAACTGATATCTGTCCGTGATCAACTCGTAAAAACATAGCATATTAGTAAACTTTGTTCAGGGGTAGGATATTCGTCAGTCATGCACAAGATTTGGGTTCAATTCCCAGCCCCACGCATTCCCGAACTGTGCTTAGTCGGTTTTAAGCCCGGTGAAGAGAAAAGGTTCAGTATGAGGTTGGCAACCCTACGCCATAAAATAAAACAAAAATACAGTTAGTGGAACTTAACAGCTGCAGGTTCGAGGCCCTAGATTTCACCTGGCAAGCAAAGATATAGGAAAATGGAGTAAATATTAGCGAGTCAGCTCAGATAATTTCAGAAAAGAGTATCATTCTATTTCACAGGCTCTCATCGGTTGTAATCCCCTGCCTAAAATTACAATCATTGGGAAGCTGACGAGAACATACTTCAATACTCGAATGGTAGTAAAGAAAATGTTATAAAATCGACTCATCCGAAATCTGAGCATACCATTTTTTCAGTTTAAGGTACCATCAATTTACATGCTTTCCAAGTAGAAAGGGAAAGGAGTGCGGAGAAGACGGAAAACTCTAATAAACAGTGTTAGCTTAAAAATCTTCATAGCAACCCGACAAGGACATAGTTCACAAAAATGAAAACGTCCTCAGTTAGCGGAAATCACTAATATGGCTAACAGATCAATATAATCAAAATGCAATTATCAAGGCACTGAGAGACTGATTACACTCTCTTTCTGAATGCAAAACTTTGGCTTGATTTCAATTGTTTCAGCAAAGCGTACCAAATTTGCTGTCCTTTGCATATTTGATATTTTTTGTAAGCTTTGAAAATCTCCACGAAATGACACATATACAGAAGGCGTCTCTTCATTGCACTTTGAGAATATCTGTTTCTATTTAGGCATAAGTTTCTTAGGATATACTCAGAAAACTGCATGGAAGTCCTCCTTTCTTTCTTTCCAATATACTTGCTTCCACAATTCGAGTTGACATCAGCAGCGTACATTGCACTTTGATTACATTGACCAGTCATCCATACTAGTGATTTCATCTCAGTGAGTAAATTTCAACCATATGAAATATAGCCTTCTTCAGCTGCTAAGTGAACTCACACGCTAACACTATTAGATTTTTCTGTCGTCATCCTCTCCCTCCCTCCGTCCTTTTATAATTTGAGATCATATAAATTGATGGTAACTTGAACTAAAAATTGTAATGCTTACATTTTGGATGCGTAAATTTCGCAATATTTTCTCTACTAACATTCAAACATTGAAGCATGTTATTGTCAGCTTTGTAACCATTGTAAATTCAAGCATTTTGTAACTGATGAAGAGACTCCCTGAAATAGATTGGTGAAATTACTTTAAACTCCAAATTATGTCTTTCCTTCTTTATCGAATTTTATGACGGGAACTAAGTGTATGAAACATTTCAGATAAAACTACTTAATCATCTGTGTGAATAATGTTCTCAAATATTATGGTAACGTGTAGATTGCATGCAACGATATCCGCATATATTTATATGCAGTCAATAAGTCACATGGCTTATAATCCCATTACACATTAATTATCTAAATTTGTTTTCATAGAAACATGCACGCTGTATGAAGCATTATCATATTTGTATTTATTTATTTTTTGTTCTGTTTATAAAATTGCAGTTTATCAGATGATTTAACGGTGATAAATTCACCCTTCA